ATCAACACGGTATGTTAGAGAAGGTTTCCCGGGAACGATAACGACAGGTTGGCTGACAGTCATAGACTGAAACAGCTGTTAATCAAAGGGGAAAGAGCAAGGACAAGTTGATGCAGCCACAACATACCAACAGGGCACAGCTGAATTCAAGTGCCAAGGCTCTGCAATTTTGAAACTCTGTGATGAAATCTTCACTTGTCACGTGTCGATTAAATAACCAGCACAGAGGTAGATGATGATATCACTGCAGAACTCCACCTGGCCCGAAAAGTTGAATGGAAACTTGTTACAGCAGAAGTGGCAATCTGTCGACTTAGACTGCAACAAGCCTTGGCTCTGCTACAAATTTATGCGCCTATGTCACAAAGAAAATATGCGTCCTTTTTGAATGAAGTAGAAGGTACCAGGTACGATTGCTGACTACGAAGTTCATCATTACAAATAGCGACTTAATGTATACGTCAGAGCGGACACGAAAAATGTGAAGGCGTGACTGGAAAGAACGGTCGTGGCGATTTTAAAAAAACATCACGTGCTTTTTGCGCTTTTGTGCAAATAATGAATTTTTTCTTGTAAACGCCTTCAAGCACCTAAAAGTGCATTACCTGTGCACCTGGTACGAATGTTCGGCACAAAAATCGTTGGTCGACTTGATAATGGTATCTTCTGAATTACGACGCTCTGCAATGGATGTACACGTTAGGGGAGAGTCACCCAACTAGCTGTTGGCACCTTCCGCTTCAAAAGGTGATACTTCACCTCTTAGAAAACCAAGGGTCAGAAGGAACCAGAACATGAAACAGGAAGCAGCTCCTGCGGATATGAGGGCGAAACTAGCAGATAACATGGCATGACGATTTTAACACATCAGAGAACAATGATTGACATGAAAGCCGAGTGAAACGTCTTTTAAAGTGTGTGGCTTACTCGAGGCTACTGCACAAGGTTGAGGTGAAAACGCTTTCTGTTGTCAGAATCACGAACTTCCTGGTAGACTCTGACGTTCAGCGAGAAAGCTGTATTCAAGAGAAGGGATGGAAGCAGAGACCTAAACTCTAATGCAGTACTAAGAAGCGTAAAGCATCAAATCAAGTCTTGGTTAAAGCAAACGCTGATTCTTGGGAGAAGTTTGGTGAGATGTTGGAATCAAATTTCTAGACCACAAACAAACTATTCTGGCAGACCATACAATGCCTCTGATATAGAAAGGAGGGCAGCCTAAAAGTCCTGAAAGACGAGTGTGGGGGTTTCTTAATAAGGACGCTATTCTCCAAAGGTACTGAGAGCAACTTAAAAAATTTCTAAACTACGAGCAAGCGCAAGGAGCAGGCGCACATATAGGGCGTAATATTATGAATATTAATTTCTCAGTACCTCAAGTCGCAGAAACTGCAAAATTATTGGAGAGTAGCATAGTTTCCGGAAATGAAATCCGCCGTAAGATGCATAAAGCTTTAGACGAACACGGCACGTTACAGCTAACACGCGTCTGCGAAAGTCAATCGTATATTACCAAAGAGGAGTTATAGCGCAATTGTTCAAAAAGGAAAAATGCCCCGAACTACATGGG